TGCCGTTTCTCCGTCCTCAGCTGTTTCCATTATGTTGATCGATAACATCGACCCCTACTCGATATATAGAATTAAGCAAATTTGAATGAAAGGCAGGGGACGTAAATCTGACCTCCAAAGTGTTGATTGTTGATAACTTTTTCCTTTAATGTTTTATCTATTATTTCTATGTTTTATCTTGTTTTCTGTCTTGAAGAATTACTAATTCACCCTTTGATGTAATTAAGAAGATGAAATTTGTGTTATATGATATACACAAAAAATAAGTATAAATTAGAAGAATATTTTTTCATTGTACAGAGCTACATGCTTCTTAAAAACCTTGACATTTTCGATGCATTAAACTAGATTTGGATGGTTCGAATCTAGTTGGGTGTTCGTGTTGAATTTTCTTGAGAAAATTTAACAGTGTCCTGTCTCTCCTAAGATTGAGGGTTAGGCCAGCTCGACTTTATTGCTCCACCCACTTTACACCTCAAAAATAGACTACTACCGTTAATCGTGTAACTTTTTCTTTAATTTTCTCGAATCATATCTCGTCTATCATGCAATAATCAGTCTACTTTTTCTATTTCTAGCAAGGCAAAAAGATGTTTGTATTCTCAAAAATGGATGTTTAGAATCCCAGAATTCAAAAATTAATCAAAGCTATCCATGCATTAAGCTCCTATTTGGTAGAAATTAAAATTTTAATTTAAAGTCAAAGTTAATAATTAATTTTAATCACATATTTTATTAGATCCACAATTTTTTAATCACATATTTCATTAACTTTTATCAAAAGATGTTAAAATTCTAATTTTAATCCATGGAGAGCCAAACATAACAGAAAATAAAAATGTAGATGAAGACAAATATGTTCGCCTGTAGGTCTGCAGTTCAACGCTAAGGCTTAGCTCGCATTGAACATCCGCCAAGCGGATAACTTTCCCAGCAACATATATCTTGTTGGAATTTATAGTAAATAACAATTAATAAGTGAATTGAAAGTGCGACGGTTGGATGACTCTCCAAAATACAATAAATACATAATAAAAAGTCATGACTTTTAGATATGGTGCGATTTGGATCACCGATCATGTCCTAATATAAAATGATGTTATCTAATGATTAAAATGAATTTGTTTCAAAAAAATGTGTACATTTGAAACCAAAAAATAAAAAAATAGCGCATTGAAATTTATAAATTGGATAACTTAATTCCATTTTATTCACTATAAATCAATTTCAAATAATTCATTTCTAATTCTTTCTTCCTCCAAATTCTGCCAAAATAATTTATTAATTATTTTTGAGCTTCAATGTTTGATACTTTAGTATTTGATATCATCTACCTACAATTTATTGAAAGTGAGGATGGTGGAGAAACTTTTAAATACCAAATTTACCCCTACGTATTCAACTATATGCCCATTATACCCTCATAATTCGAATACCAATTTAATTAGTATTTATCATTTGGTTTAGAATTAATATAATCTAAGGAGTGAAATATTTAATTGATATTTATCATTTTGGATTGGAATTAATATAAGGAGTGAAAATAACATTCAATTATATCAAAAAAAAAAAAATTAGTGACTTACTATTTAATTGACTATTTTGTTCTTACAATTTTTATTTCCACCAACAAATCAATTTTTATTTTTCATCAACAAAACCCTTATTAATCTTTAAGATTTACATCATAATTCATGCAATCATGAGTTTTATTTTTCATTAACAGAGCAACTTTTGATCTTCATGTCCATTAAGTTATTATTTAATTGAGGTTACAAATATTTTAAAGGTTGCATTAATATATTAATGAGGACATTCATTGAATAAAAAGAAATTAAACACGAAAATTCAATGCCTGACATTCAATTGATTTTTTTCTTTACAATTTTTAATTTTCATCAACAAAGCCCTTATAACCAATTTAATTAATATTTATCATTTGATTTAGAATTAACATAAGTGGTGAAATATTTAATTGATATTCATCATTTGGATTGGAATAAATTAAAGAGTGAAACTGACATTCAATTATTAAAAAAAAAATCAATGAAAATTTAGTGACTTATCATTCAATTGAGTATTTTGTTCTTACAATTTTTATTTTTGATCAACAAAATAAATTTTTATTTTTCATCAACAAAACCCTTCTTAATTTTCATGATTTACATTATAATTCATCCATTGAATTTTTATTTTTCATTAACAAAGCAATTTTTAATTTTCAGCAACAAAGCCTTTATTAATCTTCATGATTTACATTATAATCCATCCATTATGTTATTATTTATTTGAGATTACAAAATTGAAAGGTTGCAATAATGTATTAATGAGGTAACAAATGTGGTAAGGGTTGCATTAATATATTAATTGGGACATTCGATCACTAAAAATAAAAATATTGTGTACAAAGAAGTATTATTGTAATTATATCATTACATTTTAGTTTATTCAACATTTTCACATTATATATATAATTTCATAAAAACTTATATATACACGCGCGCGCGCAATTGTAATTTTCCCTTTAACAATATCAATTACCTATATTATTTTAAAAGTTTCAATTTGCTCAACGAAATTAATATTTGTTTTATTAATTTTGAAAGAAGTGTTTTATCTTAGGAGATAGCACGCTATGCAGCGGGTGAAATGTGTGTTAAAGAGAACTACAATTGCACACCTTGTTTTATTTCATCTTCTTTTAATTTTTAATTTTTTTTCTAAATATCAATAAGTCATTCTTTTTCTTCCTTTCATGCGCATATATACGTTGATTTTGGTAAAAATTGAAACTCTATTAAGTAATTTGCATACAATGAAATATAAATATACACCAACTTTTTAACAACGTATCCATCCAGCAACCAAAGTTACAACTGGAGTCCACAAAAGAATCACCATATACATCAATAGTCTCAAACCAACAAAACCCCAAACGAACCCTTAAGTTAATGTTCACCAAGAACACGAAGACATGAATAATTCTATTTGTACATTTAAAGGTGTACCAAATTGTTTACCCCTTTTCACATGCTCGCGGGCCCGTGTGCATTAAAAATCCCAAAAATGTGGTCTCCACCCTATTGTGAGTAGTCGATAAAAGATTATGTAAAAAAATTTGGTACATGTAACATGATCCGAAGAACATTCCCTCTCATACCTGCACAATGATTAACAATACATTGATTGCAATTTTAATCAGTTGTTAAACTTGCTTAGCTTGAGTTGCCACCTTTTCTTGTTTAAGAACCCCTTTAAAGATGACGTCTCTTGTAAAATGAACTTTGATATCAATATATTTGGTTCTATTATACAACATTGGGTTTTTTAATTAAACAAATGAAATTTTGACTATTAGAAAATAATTTTCTAGATCTTGTAGTTAGTTCGCTCGATCAAATTATTATTAAACAAAGACCGGAGTTAGTTTCCCATGCAATATTAGATCTTGTGTAGTTATACAGTTCGACCGAAGTTTATGCACATCTAACTCCGGACAAAGGAAGTGGCCGACAGTACACCCAACCAAGTGAAGGTCCATCACCTCCTCGCCAATGAGAGAAGGCAGTGCATTCCCCACTTTGAAGAATCCCAAGGTGCAAGGATCTGCTCAAGTGAGGAGAGGTGTATACTTAGGGATGGCAATCGAACTCGTCGACTCGGGTAGCTCGTGGCTTGAGGCTTGAAAGAACCGAGCCAAGGCTCAAGTCAAGCCTCATTTTGGGGTGTCGGGCAAAACTCGAGCCGGCCCGTGTAGCTCACCTGCTCGGACTTACAAACCTATATTTTTATATATATAAAAAAACATATACAACAAAATAAATAAATAAATAAATAATTTAAAGGCAGGTGGTTGCTGCCATGTTTATAGATTAATAACAACAATAATAATAAATCAGCAAAACACCGAGCCTGCCTGGCTTGGAAAGGTCTGAGCCGAAAGCTCGGGTCGAGCTTTTACTCGGCCCAGCTCGGGCCCAGAAAAAGGCTTGATCATTTTACTCGATCCAAGCCCGAGCCTAAAATTTCGGCTCGTGAGCCGGCTCGACTCGACTCGTTGACATCCCTATGTATACTCCAAATATTTTTGATTGATGCACTTTATTTATTTTTTTATTTTGGATGTTTTTTAATGTAATTATCAGTTCTATGTTTTTGGTGATTTTTTTTTTTAATGTAATTATTAGCTTTAGCATCATGTTTTTTATTGTAATTACTATATTTCATTGCACCGTGATTAATATTTCTCCATTCGATTATTGATGTTAACATTTTTCTCTCTCTCTGTCTCTGTCCCTTGTAAAATTCTATCCGCTTTGCATAACAAATGCTACAAACCATTCATTCTCTTGGAAAAAGAGAGTGCTGAACAATTCAAGTCATTTTAATCATAAATTTATAAAATAGATGTGTTCTTGAAGATATTTCCTCGATAATTCCTAAATTTTCATATCATTTCGATGTTAGTTTGAGAAATTTAGTGGTCAAAATTAGATCACCTTAAAGTACGCATTTATATGTTATTAGGCTATTTAGTAGTTTGCACTAATTGTGCAATCCATCTCCCACGTCTCCTATGCCGCTATAACTATGAAATGAAACTCATTTAAGTGAATAACATTCAATATTTGGAGAAATTTAGGGTGCGGTTGGTTTGCTATTTTCGGGCCATTTTCCGTTTTCGTTTTCTAAAACGCGAAAAACGCGTTTTGGTTCGTCGTTTTTGAAAACGCATTTTTGAAAACGAGTTAAAATTTATAACTGAAAAAGCAAAATGACTTTTTATCATTTTGAGCGTTTTCAGTTATAAATTGTTAAAACGCTCAAAACGTGAAAAACAGGTCATTTTCGGGGAAAACTAAAAATCATTTTGAAAATGAAAATGGAAAATGAAAATGAAAACCAACCGATTCCTTAGTGATTAAAGTTGGACATATGAAATTATAGCGAGTGATCGAAGATACCAACGTAAGTTCAATGATTATTGGACAATTAACTAATTAACCCTCGATACCAAGGTGCCCTTTATTGTACCTTTGAAGTTTGAACCCTTTCACGATACATCTTTGCAGCAACTTCCAATGCTCTCGCTCGCGAGAAAAGCTCGGGGCCTCAGTCAACTCCAATTTACCGCCTTCCAACTCCGATCTGCCCGAACCGATGCCGATTCTGGCCCAAGGCGCCGGCGGTCCAAATTCTCGCCATCGTCTATGCTGAGAAAGACTGACGATAAGTCCGATTGGTGGGTGGTGGACGGCGAAATGCACGAGATAGGAGAGAACGTGCCTCCCAGAGAGCGGTTTGTGATTCCAAGAGATAATATTCCCAACAAGAGACGCAAACAGCTCCGCGAACAGTTCATGCGTCGCACGCGCCTCGTTCTGAAAGAATCTGTAATTTCTCTTTTTTAAAATTTAACGTCATATGCACCTTTAATATATTTGGATGATGAGTACTGGGATTTTTGCCTGTTGCAAGTAATTGTGTGAAATGATTTTTGTTTAATTTAATGATATGACACAGGGGCTGTGTAAATTTAGAAGGTGGGTACTTGAGAAATTAGGGTTATTGAACTTTGGTGCTTATAATTGTTGTTTCTTCTAAAGAATCTCGCTGGTGAAGTGTAAATATGAGCAACCTTTTAAGAAATCATAATTTGATTTGTTGCATTGTTCTCTAATTAGATATATCATTAAAGTCTTGATGTTGTGGATAGATTTGGATTACCTTTACTTATCACTTAGTAGGAATTGCTTACTGCACTCTTGCTTAGTTATTCCATCTTTACTATGGAAATGTACTTTCTATCTACATACTTGTGTTACTTCGTATGCAACGGTTTGTACAGGAATGCATGAGTTTTACCAAGTACTCAGTAAATTATAACCACTTCAAATCTTCAATTTTGAAATCTATTTCATGAGGAACCATGCTCTTAGTCGAACTGCTGCAGTTGTGTCTTGTGTTGTGATAACTCGGAATTACTATGTTGCAATACATTGAGTTGATGCTTTCAAATTCTCGAGTTAACTCCGAGTTAGGCCTCTCCTCCATGTCCAACAGATCTGATTGTAGATATGAAACCACTCGATTGGTGAAAGTCCGTTATATCTTTGTTTGGCATAACTAATTTCCTTGAAGCTATGCTGATCAGCATGCTATATCACTTGCTTACAGTTATATCGAAACAAGCTGTTACAAGCTTTAAATCAAATTAATTTTTAGTTAGTTGGACTCAGAAGAAATAAGTATCTCGTTTTTAAATATAAATGAAAAGGATTTAAGTTCCGCTGACATTTCCTTCTGTTACTTGGATTTGTAGTTAACTCCGAGTTAGGCCTCTCCTCCATGTCCAACAGATCTGATTGTAGATATGAAACCACTCGATTGGTGAAAGTCCGTTATATCTTTGTTTGGCATATCTAATTTCCTTGAAGCTATGCTGATCAGCATGCTATATCACTTGCTTACAGTTATATCGAAACAAGCTGTTACAAGCTTTAAATCAAATTAATTTTTAGTTAGTTGGACTCAGAAGAAATAAGTATCTCGTTTTTAAATATAAATGAAAAGGATTTAAGTTCCGCTGACATTTCCTTCTGTTACTTGGATTTGTATTTGACTTTTTGAATGTTTTGAGTTGGATATCAAATGGGAAGTTCATTTGGTTGTTTCTAAACTGATCTTACTTTTGCAATTGAAAGGAGCATGAACCTTGGTGCAAAAGATATATGGAACTATATAATGAGATGAGGGAGAACTGGGAGAGGTTGTACTGGGATGAGGGTTATTCCAAGAAGCTCGCTCAAGATCATGCAAATTACGAGTCTGCTGAAGATGATGATGAAGATTTTAATCCATATAGGTTTGACAATACTTTTATTTTCTTGTTGCCATTCCTACCAAGTTGGAGGTCTCGGTTGATAATAATTTTTAATTTGAGATAGTACTCCTAGTCACCTATAAAGGTCACTGTATTTCTTAACATGAGAAACAAGTTAATTTCAACTTGCTTTCAGTGGTTGGAGAACTGAACACTGCTAAGGGAACTTCACCTTGTTCCTTTCATCTCTTTTCATTTTCTTTTGTTTGTTGACATCATTCTCAAAAATGGTAAAGTTTACTTGTTAGGCTGAAATTTAACTACTAAGTGGCGATTTCTCTTTGTTGCAGGAAAAGGCAACCCCAAGTTGAGCAAATGAAGGTAATCATGCATGCATTCTAGTCAAACTTTGTTCATTTATTTTAATAGTGGTAATATAATGCCATAGATGGTTTTCAACTTATTTGTAACCGTAGCGTATAGGAGTAAATGTGCACTATAGTATTAATTTATCTAAATCAGTGCTGTTTTGGTAATATTCTATTTGTTATGTCTCTAAATCTTTAACCTGCGCAGTTGAAGTTGCCATTAATCAAGCCTGTCTTTGAGCAGGGCGAACTATTTCTTTTACATCTCACTCATCAGCTCCTTTCTTCCTATATCTCTTGAAATTTTTTGCTCACCTTTCCTTCTCTCTGTATTTGTTATCTTCAGAGGCATCCTCTTCCTCCCTTCTCCCTTCCCCTCCCTCATTTCCCTCACTGTTGGCCTGCTTATGTGATATACAAATATAGAAGGTTGGGAATTGGAAATGCTATTGGCTGACACCTATTGCATGTTGTTATATGCTTTTTCTGTTGATTCATTACACAAAGTCTCCTTGAACTAGTAGGCTGAAGCATGCTGTGTAAAATGGGTCTGTGTTAAATCTAACTTTTACAATATGTCAATGTGACTTGAATTTTTGACTGCAGGATCAAGGCGTGGGGAGAAACAGGAGAGATGATACCTGGGAAAAGGTTGGCCAAATCCGTGATAAATTTGAATATGACAGAGAGAGAAGAATGAGAGAAAAAGGTTAGTTTACTTAGTTCTAGAAGCCATTTATATGTTTTCTTCAGAATTCTGCATCCGGTTTATGATCTTTTAGAGCTTAAAGTTGGAGTCCTTTAACTACAGTGTCAGTCATATACAATACTTACTATAAAGCAACCTTAATTCGGCTTCTTGGTTATTGTACATATTATTTTTGTTTGCTCTTGGATTGAAATTACTCTTTACAAAGTATTTTGCGATGCTGGAATTCTGTGATTACTTGTGCATAATGTAGTTTTTGGGCATGGAGGTAATCTTAAAAGAACCTTCAATTATGTTAAGGAGTCTGCATTTTGAATTTTAGCCTATCTGTAATTTTCAGCTTTTTTACTCTATATATAATGAACTTGACACGGACAAAACTGAAGGAATTTTGGGTTTTTAAGTTTGCACTCCTCCAGTTTGCTGTATTGAAAGTTAGCCTTGTAGTTTGAAACCAGAAAACGGGATTGGCCACTTTGTTGTATTGCTCTATTATCACGGGTGTAAATTCTCTTTGCATTGAACTTGCAGCTTTTGCCCCTATGAATGGAGGAAATGATTTTGACACGAATGATTCAGTTTCAAGGAACAAGCCTTTTGACATTCGGAGATATATCTCTGGGAGTGATAGTGATTGAGAAACTGGCCATAATTATTGGAAAACATCCCATATGGTGAGTAATCTTGTTTGCAGAGGATTAATTGTAGAGTAAATGTTACTTGGAAGTTTCACTATTCTAAGTGGGCATCGTCTTATGGACCCATGGCTTCCGATAACGTTTTTAGTTGCACATTTCTTAGAAATTTTAGCTGGAAAACTTGAGCAATGTATATTTATTTCCTTGGCTTGATCAATTTTGTTCCTCATCCATCTATAACTTGGCATTGGGATTTCTGATTATAGGTCCCTTTTTTTCTCATGCTTTTCTCTTGGAGGATTTTAATTTTAAAATGATATCAATTAGTAGGATGTCAAATGTTAAATAATTTATACCTTACTGATTTGTAGACGATCAAGGGCTGCGGATGAATCTATATCTATCTATATTATGTAAATGAGCTAAGTATCATGACATTGATATAGGTTGTAGACCGAACTTAGGGGAAGCAGAAGTTACTTAAAAGTAACTTTTTATTTCTAAACATGCATGTACGGATAACTTTTAAATAAAATTTACTTCTTAAAGTAATTATATGTCATTGTTAAAATAAGTAACTTTTTCGAGAACACAGCACTAGGTTTATATATGGCTTAAAATTGTACAGATTGCTAAGAATTATGACACAATTTGATTAGAAAATCGAGTGCCTTAGAAAACATAAATGTTGGGTCTAGTCCTTCATTGAAGCCTAGAACAAAAGCTGGTTACAATAATTAAAAGTAGCTCATCTTCTCTTTTTCACAGGTAAAATGAAAAAAATACAAGAAAAATACTAGGATATATGATGTTTGGCTGTGTTTAGAAGTAGCTCATCAGCTCTTTTTTCACAGGTAGAGTAGTTACTTTTAAGCCAGATTACGTTGATTGCATGCATCAAACTTTGTGTCTATTCCCTCTTCTTCTTCGTTCTCATCTTCTTCTTCATTTAATTCAGGAGCCCAAGCTGGTTGCTCGACTGACATAAAAGGTGAATAATCATCTTCTTTCTTGACCAATGATTCCATCTCTCTCTTCTTCTTCATCAGAATTGATTTCTAGTGTTTCTTCATCTTCGTCATAGGGCACCAGTGTTTCAGTTGATTCATCTTCTAGTTCATGCACTTTTGTTTCTTTAACGTTTGATGATACATTTGTTTGCTCGGCTTGGCTTGGCTTGGCTTTTCACCTCTTCCACTGGAGCGACATCTACCTGTACAAATATATGTTGTAACTGAAGATTCGTACATGATATCTGAACAAGAATAAAGATATTACTAGATAGTATTAAAGAAGAAAGAGATTAAATTTTGTTTGTTATGCTACATGCACCAAGTATTTAAACTAGAATGATAAAATGAACATTTTAACTTGTTATTGAGGGACAAAATTATTTATTTATATTTTAGATTACGGCATCGCTTCACATATACCGAGGTTAGATCGTGGCTTCGCTTGTGGAGTTTTCATAATAATCTGGTCATCAGAGTCGCGAAGGCGAGATGTTCATGTTGAGGGGGCAAAAAAATGCTTGACGGGACAAAATATACATATATTATGTGTTTATTAAAAAACTTTCTAAATTTCTACATAGGCTTTCTTAAATTTTAAATTGTTGTGGGGGAGATTTTCAGCCCCAGCACCTTGTAGCTCCGCCGCTGCAGCCTGCATGAGACTTGGATTCCTGGCATGAGCAAGTTAGCTAAGCTTGAGAAAAAGTAATTTTTCTTCTTTTTGACGTATGCAAACTTGCGTTATAAAAGTATGATTTTACACTGAAATTCATAACAAAGTAACTTTTAGAGAGTTTCAGAAAAAAAAAAAAAATAAATAAAAATTTGCTTGCTTAAAGAGTAACTGTCAAACTTATCTAAAGATTTCCCTGTAGGGATTATTCTCCTTGTACATTGGGGTGCCATAAGGATGTCCATAATGGACACTCGACACCCCCCTATTGGAGGGGAGTCAATGGGGTGGATTATTCTTCTTGTACATTGGGGATGCTATAAGGGTTATGACACCCTTAATGTACCCATAGCACTACCCAATCCAAGTAGTACTATCAAAATAGTAAGCTTAAATATTGTATTGAAAGTTCCAAATAAGTAACTTCAAAGAACATCATACGTGCTTCGCAAAAAGAGTTACTTGTGAGTAATTTTCAAGCTTAGGCAAACATATTGCTTGTCCAGAACAGTTGAGAAAAGTAAGATTTTGTACTGAAAATTCCAAAAAATATATATATAATTGGCAAAAAGTTATAACTTTCGTGCTTATCCAAACTTGCTAGGTTGAAAAGGTGAGAGAGAACCTGGAGGGAGGCTGTTGACCTCAAAAAGTGTTGCCAACAGATGTCGGTCCCACCCGCGCACACGTGGGCGAATGTCCAACACGTTAATACACGTGGACAGTCTAAAACGAGCGGTTCAAAGGGTGTGGGAGTAGCCCAACGACGCGGGACGATGACGTTCGGAATCCGACGGGCCGTTCGTGATCCGATTGTACAATAATTACCAACCGGTGTTCGTAAATATATACGTAAATGTGTATAAATTCGATTTGTGTATTGCAAATAAATGAGAGAGTTGAGTAAAGTGTAGTTCTTTGTATTGATTCTTGTATTAGTCATTTGATGTTACACAAGGGAAGTATTTATAGTGATACATGTGAAATGGGAGCCCTTCGATGAGGTGACACGTGACCTCATCTCTTTGATTCAAACATTTTATCCTAGGCAGGGGGCTTGACTTGCTAGCTTGCTGCGCATTTATTACTTGTGCAGAGCCTCCATGCTAGTGACAAGACTTGACATTTATGCTTATGACAAACGTTCCATCAATCATTCGAATAAGATCTTTGTGTAGACGATCTCTTGGGAAAAGTGACCATGGAGGACGCTCCCATGTGGTTCGGAGGCTCCTGCATCAGGTTCGGGGCTTCTTCCATTTCATACAATACTTCACTTGAGGGCTTCAATTAACTTCAACCAGCTTCTGCATCATGGCGTCGGCCCATAGGCCTCAGCATGTGGACCTCGGTTACGATCACAGGCCTTGGTGGAAGGGCATGCCTCGAATTGAAGGGCTTCGGCCATAGCCCACCTCGACAATATACACCGCCTCGACTAGAGTGCCACGTGGTTCGGCCTGAGTGGGCCATTGGCCTATGTAGGTTGGCCAAGTATTACAATACGCAACAATAGTCCCCCAAGTCCAAGTATAGATCATGGTTGGAGTTTGAGATGTGCTGCTGTAAGAAAATGATGAAGAGACCGAGGCTGTGTTGAGGTGGAAGTCGAGGTGGTTGGGTAACCGAACCTGCGAGGCTTGCAGGCTGATCGTTGAAGTTGAAGCCAAGGTGGTTGGGAAACCGAACCTGCGAAGCTTGTAGGCTGATCGTTGAAGTTGAAGCCGAGGTGGTTGGGAAACCAAACCTGCGAGGCTTGTAGGCTGAATGTTGAAGTTGAAGCCGAGGTTCGATGGGAATGATTGTGCGTCGATAGCTGCGCCAATGATTTGATGTTTTGTGCTTGTTTTCGAGGAAAAGCGGCTGACCCGTACGACTTCCAAGGCGCCTGCTGCCGTCGAATTAAAAACACAATTATGAGGACAGCTGGAGGTTCTAGAAGTAGACGCGTTGGATGGGGTGTGTGGAAGGCACGCTTGAGTCTGAGGCGTAGGTTTGAAAAACCGTTTGAATTCAACGCCTCGAATTTATTCTACAAGGGAGGGCTCAAATTGACTGAGATTCGATCTGACGGCTGGGGTTCGTCCTGGACCTCTATAAAAGGTAAGAGAATCCCATTTTTTAGGACTTTTGAAAATTTGCAATTTGATTCTCTCTCAAAATCTCGAACTTTCAGACGTCAAGGCTACCTGTTCTTTGATTTTTCGGCCTATCTCCGTTCGCGTAGTGTTTTTCCCTTAGGTATTATTCGTAGAAAAGCCCCTTTTTGTTGTGTTAATTCTGTGAAATGGAGTTCACCTCGGGTAGGGAATTGGTGACTGTAGCGTCGTTAGATTATGGGGTCAGTCAGAGGGGGGATGCCGAGGCTGATAGTTATGCCATGACCGAGGACCCAGTAGATTATACTGAAGAGTGTGGGGCGTCTAGGGTGCCCTCAAGTATGACGTGGAAAAGGTTAGGGGAGATCAGGGAGAGATACAGTGTCCCCCACACCATAGAAATGCTAGTACCCGAGCCAAATGAGCATGCCTGCTATCCGAGGCCCGGGTGCGTGGCAGTCAGTGAATACCTGTTTAAGGCAGGTATGCGTCTTCCTCTGCACCCCTTCTTTAGGGCGGTGCTGAGGAACTTTATGTTGTCGTCGACCCAGGTTTTGCCAAATGGGTGGAGCCAGTTGGTCGGCTCGTACTTCCTGTGGAAGGAGGTGTCACTTGGGGAGGACATGCATCTCCATGTATTTATGACCCTTTTTCAGCCCCGGATCATAGGGAAGGAGTCCAGAGGGTGGTATTACCTTACACCTTGGGGGGCTCACGCACCCTTTGTGGTGGGACTGCCTTCCTCCATTAAGGGGTGGAAGGAGTACTGGTTCTAGGTGCAGGGAAAATGGCAGGTAGTGGAGGGGGACAAGGCCCTTTCTTGCACAGTGCCGACCCAGTACTACGAAGCTCGTGAGTCTCCCAGCCCCTGCTTGTACTTCTGAATTGAACACTTAGAAAATTTCTAACTGTTGTGGCTTCCATTGCAGATTGTAGTACGAGGTTCGAGCTCAACACAGAAGAGTTTGAGGTGATAGAGGACATCTACAAGAGGCCTCTGAAGCTCCGCCACTTTGACCATCTGATTGACAGGAGTCGCTACTTCCTGGATTTTGGACTGATGGCATCCAGAGATACGAGGCTCTCATAGTTGTAAACTTCCTTGTCCTTTTGATTGGATACTGATGTGCTGACCTGACATTCTTATGCAGATAAATTCAAGAGGAAGGAGTACCTAGCTCCAGACATGGCTACAATTCTGAAGGCCACCACCACCGTCAAAGTTAGGGCCTTAAAGCCGGGGTCTAATGGGGCCAAGAAGGTCCGAGGTAGGGTGGAATGCATTTCCAAGGACAGTACTCCAAAGGCTTCCGAAGAGGGAGCTTCCCAGAGGCAGGAGAGGCCAAAAGAGCCTCGGGGAAAAGAGAAGGTCCCAGAGGAGGCGAAGAGGAGGAAGCTGGTGCTCGTTACTAGATCGTCCGGGAAATTTGGGACATCAGTATCCCACGAGGCCAAATCAACAGGCGAGCCAAAGCTGCTCGCATCCGCCTCCAAAGCCATCAAGTTAGAAATGGTCAGAGAGGCTGAGGCTGAGGCTGAGGAGGCCAGAGAGAAGGCTGCGAGGAGAGCTGCCGAGGAGGATGCAACTAAACAAAAGCCAGTTCGGGAAAAGGGGAAGTCTCCAAGCTTCCTAGCTGGAAGGGAGGAAACCTTGGCCCCAACCTTGGTGGAGGCTCTTCCCCAGGAGGTCCGAAGCGCCACAAAGAACTTTTACCGATTTTGGACGGACAGGTGGCAGCTGCATGCCTCCTCCTGCGATGCCACCGACCTGACGAGGGCTTTGGTAAGCCAAAGCGTCAGAACTTTTGGCCTCGCTCTTGAATGCAGGGAGGCCCTGAGTGATTTTCAGACAAGGACTCAGTCTTCGGAGGAGAAGACGGCCTCCCTTGCAGAGGAGTTGAAGGCAGCTAGGGCCGAGGAGGAAGAAGCCAGGGCCCAAAAACTTGAAGAAATGGCCAAGCTTGAGTCTGCCTTGGCCCAGATTGAGGCCTTGAAGAAGGAAGTCCATGAGTCACAGTGCGAGGTGGCCTCCCTTACAAAGAAGGTAGAGGTCTCCAATGAGTACCAGAAGGTGACCGCCGAGGCCCTGGAGAAGGCAAATCTCTCTTTGACGGGTGCCCAAGAAGCTTACCATTTCTTGGAAACCCAAATCAAGTAGTATGTGGATGATGCATCCTATGCCAGAGAGGAGGCTCAACGGGCGAGGGAAGAGGCGGTGCGAGAGTACATTGCCAACTTCCATAACACAGAGGAGTATAAGAGCTTCAGTGCTTACTGGAGAAACTTTGCCTATGCTGAGGTGATGGAGCGGGCAGAGGAACTGTATCCCAATTTGAATCTGACTCAACTCAGGTCTGAATTCGTGGATGAGGTACCTCAGACCCCTGCTGAGAAAGTAGGGTAATGAAGCAGCTGAGGTAGGGGAGACAGATGCCGATGCTCAAGTACAGAAGCTCCTCCCCCATCTACCCAAGCTTAGATTAGTTTTCTTTTCAGTTTTGTCGAATGTAATGACTTGAGGCCCACTTTTGTAATCCTTTTTGAAGATCAATATAATGCCTATTTCATTCATTGTTGTTTCTTTATCAAAGT